AGATAATTTTTTATAAAATTAAGTATTTTATTAAAGAAAAAGAACCCAATCTTCATGAGTATCTTATCCACTAGACCATACTATACAGGATATCCTTTATTTTAACAAAGCTTTTTATTAGGAATTTGTAAGCAGCTCATGAGATTTTGGATGGTTCATAAGATACCTATATATCTTGTTATACCTATGTGAATATATGTATAATATGAAAGACATTTTTCTACGACCACCATGTAAAAGTCACATTTCGTAATGGCATCGTTCCTTAGAAAATAAATATTTTCATTGGCATGGCAAAACACGAATGTAAAGTGACATTTCTGTGTGAAAAGTGACACGTCTGTGTGAAAAGAAATTGACAGCATCGTTTGACATTCGTTTCAAAATTTGTATTGTATTTGTATATGCATGTCTAAATATAAATTTAGAACACAATTAATTGTGTTTGTATAATAAATTCCAATTTTAGGGCCTTTATTTAAATTGAGAAGGTAAGTTTATTAATTTTAAGTAACTTTTACCTTAAAATTAAAAGAATAAGATGAAAGTAATTTTAACAGCTGTCATACACGTTTTTAGGTTATATTGTTTTGTATTTGAATATAATAAAAAATTAAAGGGTCGTAGAAAAACATTGTGTTTCACTTGTGAGAAAAGCTTTCTTCGAGCTCGTGTTAATTCACACTCGGCCTTACGGCCTCGTGAGCAACTTAAACACTCGCATGAAAAAGTCGCTTTTCAACACTTGTAAAACAAATAATTATTACATACATTTTGGGCAAGTATTTGTGCAAATTATTAAAGCTATTATTTTGTAAAATGGCGACACCGCCTTGAACAAATTTTGTGCAAATGCCTGCAGTCAATCGATTTGAACCATTGTTGAAGTGGGAGTTAATTTAATTCGTAAGATAGGTTTAGGTATAAAGAACCGCTAGTTTTTTGTACTAAATTTAGAAATTTCTCCATTTTAACTATTAAAACATTCGGTCCAACATCAAAGAACGAAAACCATCGTTAGAAAAAAATTACTAACTTTAAATCTGACGAATTATTTAATTATCCAGGTTTTTGTTTTAATCCAGCTTATTGTTTTTAAGTTTTTTCCATTTGCAGTCAAACTAAAGTATTTTATGAAAATGTTGTCGAAATAAAGCCAAATTTTTAAAAAATACATTAATGTTCCCAACATTTAGTAATTAAAAAAAACATAAAAGCATTTTTATGTAAGATCATAAAAAACGCCATTCCTAAATTTTATTGATTTTTTTCCTTCTTAACCAGGTTATACCCTTTAACTAGAACATAATTGATAACCACAAGAAGGTAAACTACTTATATCAAATTGCTTTAAATTGGCTATCGGATTATTCACCTAGTTAACGAATATTTTTGTATATTAAATTACTATTAAACCACATGAAATCGTCAATAGAATAATTTATTAAACTAAATAAGGTCACTGACCACTGGGAGTATACCTATTGATTTTTACTGTCATCATAAATATATTTATGTTTTTAATTCAAACCTAATTAGCTAAAAGGCTTTTTATTTTATGACGTTAATTTAATAGTTATTTTAAAATTTCTACTAAATATTCCGGTTTTAGATAAGAGTGGTTTAACTTTCTTCATAGATTTGATCTATGTTTATGTTTGCCAAATATAAAAGTAGGTATTAATAGTATGAAAAATAATTGTAGTTGGAACTATTTTTTTTAATTCCTATTGTTTTGATATTTATATACGGGACAATTAATTGGCAATTGCCATAAAACATTTAGAAATAGTGGCGCCTTTTTAATTTAAATATGAATGCATGCATGCTATCTACAGACATATAATTTGGTGATTAAAACATGAAATATTTTTTGCAACCTTACGCAATTATGGTAATGGCGTACTAAATAATAAACATAGAACAATTGTATCAATATCATTGCTAAATTGTTGCATAAGGAATGTATGTAAATTGAAATTGAAGTAAAACGACCTTGGAACAATTAATTGCTATGAATTTAAAAAAGATCTTTTAAATGTAATAATAACAGCATGATTTATTTATTTTTAATTATTCATGATGTAACACTGCTTAAGTATATTTAAGTGGGAAATAGATTCGTTTTTATTTATTTTACCCTTCTATTTTTATATTTTCTGGTTAGCACTTTTGTTTATCCAATTTTAAACATTTAAATTCAGTGATACATTTTCTCAAGGTTTATTTTTAACTCCTATTTTATAATATGTTACCAACAAAAATATTAAATTTTCAAAAACGTTCCCTAATTAGGTATTCATTATCACTAAGTGTATGAGTTATATCAAGATTAAAGTATTAATGTTAATAATTTATTATAATAAAAACGATAATTAAATTATAATTATAATTAAATAGGTATGCATTTAAAATACTGAATATTATACGGGGTGTCTCAAAAGTTGCGCACCACCATGAAGGTGTATGTCCCCCAGGAATCCCAGAAAATTAAAAAAAAAATTCTACCTTTATTATTTAAAAAGATATGAGAGCATAAACAATGTTTGGTAAACAATGAGTTTTTACACTTAAAAATAATAGGTTTGCCTTGTTTATATTTTGTTCAAGTCTTATAATATAGATTAGGACTAATGTTCATAAAAATCCTTAAAGGAGTTAATGTTTTATCATAAAAGAAAATTCATTTTACGATTTTTAAGTATTGTGATATGTATGTTGTGTTTGGAGAATGCTTAAAAAATGGAAGTCCTTTAGCCTGTGTGTCAATATAATTTTAATATTTGTTTAGTTGTTCTTTAAAGATTTAATCTATTTGTTATTAGGAAATATTGCCATTTAAAGAAAATATGTGTCACCTGTACTTTTTTAAATAACGAAGTTAAATTTTCTTTTTCAATTTCTGGGGATCTGTAGATTATACACCTTAAAGGTGGTGTAGGATTTCTGGTACACCATGTATTTTTAACACATACATTTTTAAATTTTTATTGATTTTAGATACATAAATACCGAGATAAATACTATTCTTCACACCCAAAAGTCCCATATTGAAATTTAAATTTAATTTATTTTTATACTGTTTAATTTGCTGTTTTATTTTAGTGTTTTGTATTATTTGCATTACGGCCATTTCAAGCGCGCAAAACGCACGCATTAAAAAACTTTTTTTTTAAATTGTAGATAATTTATTATATAATATTTTGGCATCAAAATTGTCAAAAATATTCTTTTTTTATTAGGCTATACATTAAATAAAAAAAACGCAAGAAATTTAATAAAAGTAGAGATAATTTAAATAATTGAAAGGTTTGCACGGGACAAAAAAAAGATTTATCTTGTCCCATCCACACCTGTCATTTATTAAAATTATCTCTACTTTTATAAAATATAACGTGTTTAATCATTCTGCTAAAACACGCCTGTAGTTGGCTACTTTATTTTATTAACTAATTAATGATGCGTCTGATCGAAAAACGGCAAGACTATTCGACTTAAAATTCCACCCTCTATCCACCCCTTTTCTGTTGTCCTTGACTTGATACACCCTGTATATATTTAAATAATTGAGGTTATTTATCTGTCAGTTTAACCAAAGATAGTATTATCTTTGAGTTTAACGCTAATTTCGTCTTATTTTCAGAAAGTAATACAATAAATGTGTTTTGTGTTCCAAATAAAGACCTTTATACACAAAAAAATTGATATATTGTATTATTTTCATAAAATAGGACGAATTTTGCGTCACATAACAAAATAATTCTAATAATTTCTATGGATATAAATTTTCTGTCACATCCAAAAACAGTGGTTATAGATAATCATAATCATTAATTTCTATTGTTAAACATTCTTTTATAATCTGTGATTTATATATCATAAATAAATACAGTTCGCTTTTTTTTATTCGGAATTTGACGTCAAAAATTTGGGGGTTTTGTTGAGAAATTCTAGGAAAACTAAATTTTATAATTGGCTACATTAAGTAGAACAAACTAGTTAAGTGGAGGATCTATTTGTGGTTATGTTATAATTATAATAATGTTTATAAATTTTGAAATGTCAAATATCTGTTTTACTTTGCAAGGAAAAAACTAAAAAAAACTGGTTTAGTACTCGATTTCGATTGATTATTCTTTATATCATTGATTAAGAAACTCAACGCTTAAATACTTTTATAGTTACGTTAGTGTGTGTATTTTATCTAAGGGATCATGCTGAATTATTGTGTTTTTAATTGTAAATAAAATTAAAGAACTAAATAGTTGCATTTTCATGTTTTGCCAAAGGATCCAATTCGGTAAGTACATTTGTTGGTGCAGAATTAACTAATGATAACTTTACCTAATATAATTTATATTTAAGTTTGGACATTTTTTAAAAATTAGTAAAAAATATTTTTTGCACAAACATAACAATTTTACTTAAATATTAAAAAATACCAAGTACCTATATTAGCAATACCAAATGTGTCAAATTGCGAATAAAACAACTAGTCTTAAAACTTAATAACAACAAAAATAGGATTTAAATTAAAAAAAGCTACGACAAAATTTTTCAGAAAAAAAATGCCATTTTATCGCGTGGTATGTCGTTAGTTTTAATATTATATTCAATGTATAGAAGATGCTTTAACTTAAATAAAATTAATACCTATACTTGACAACAATGTATTTTAAAAAAGGTTTGTCAAACTAAATAATATTATGAGTTTTATTAAAAAAACGGTTTACTTGGATCTAAAACTGTAAAACATACCTTATTTAAATCTTCCACAGGAGGCTCATTGGCTTTTGGTAAAGTATTTATGGATTTTTCAGTCTTTCTGAAGAAATTTGTTATTCTAAATTTTGACATTTTAAAACATTATCAAACACAATTAAACCCCTGTATATTTTTGACAGTTTTTGTCAGAAACATTGTTATATTTTATTAATGAAATTTGCGTTATATATAATTTTTTACCGCTTGTTCATACAAAATCAACAAGTTTCACTTACCTCTAAATCAGGACCTGGATGTACGCTCCTGACTTTTTGTATCTGTGTAAAATATGACTTTGACAGTGTCTCTGACCTCCTACGTCTCTCAACCTCTTTATCCAGACGCTTTCTCCAGGATTCTTCTCTTTGGTTAACAAGTTCGGCGCAATGCTCCAAAGTGGATAAAACAGCAGATGTGGTTGTCTTAAATGTTATAGCCTCACCTTTGAAATCAACAACGGGAAGTAGTTCTAAAAAAAAGGTTTATGTATTTAGTGCATAAACATAAAATTTTTAACTTCTGAAAATGTTACTCAAATGAGTTTACTGAGTATGATATTAGACCCCTAAAGCATGGAGCCTACACAAGGAGTCCGAACTGCATGTAAACAAGAATCTTCCTAAGGAAAGTAGGCGCTGGTGTCCCGTTTATTCTGAAACAATTGTCTAATTTGTACCGAAACGCTACCAAAAGAGCATACGTCAGGACGCATCAACAATCAGCGCCGCTGGTGGTGAAAAAAAAAGACTTAATTTGTGCAATTTAGAGGGCAGGTTTTGTCAATTTTCCCTATTAAGTTCGGGCTCCTTGTATAGGCTCCATGCCCTAAAGTAAAAATCTGTCAATTTTTCTTAACATTTTACATTTTGTCATCTTGGACCAATCAAAGACCTGTTTTGCATTAGGCTACTATATTGAAACGTCAAATCTGTTAAATTGAACCAATTACAGACATATTTTGTGTAAAGCCTACTAGATTTTGACAGTTATGACATTTAAAACGTCAAATCTGTAAAATTGTCAATAAATTTTTTACCTTTGTTTGGTGGGTTGTTTTGTGCATTGTTTTCGACGCAATAGTCAAAGTACTTTTGCAGAGTGTCAATTTGCCTTGACAAGATGTCCTTGTAAGTTTCCAACTCCGCAAGTTTTTCGCGTAATGTTCTCGATGATCTTTTAAAACTGCTTCCAGAGGCTGTGCTAAAAGTATTTGATTGCAAGCTGACTGTCGAGCCATGTCTTTTCAGACTGTTCTCTGAACCTGTGCCGTAACCAGATTCAATCTGAAAAATTAAGACAATTTTGTTAATAAGACGGAAAAATAAAAGTTAAGTGGCTAACCCTATTTTTTTTGTTTTTTTTTGTTCTTCCAACACACCCAGCACAACTTAACATCGTTGCTATAAGTTTAAAATAAAGCTAACATGAGTGTAAAAATTGATTACAACCTTAGATAAACTGTTTACCCAGAAAAATAAACCACCCATAAAAATGTTAATACTATTAATTAACTGGTGTGTAAACCAAATATTTCCAATGTAAATATTGGTGTTTATACCAATTTGCCACTTTAAAAACAAATTCATTTGTAAATTTGTCAAGGTTGCTCAAATTTTTTATGTTAGAATTTTTGTTAAAAAATAAACACTTTTTTATTATACTTATAGGTATCATTTTTTAATCAGTTAATCAGTTAATTGAGTTATAAGTATTCACACATGATGTCTTTAATAGTTTTAAAAAATAATAATTCATTTAAACCAACCTTAGCAAGGATTTTAGATGTTAAATTATTGTTTTTTATGTAATTGGCATTATTGATTTATAAAACAATTGAATGTCAAATTGACAAGTTAAAAATCGCCATATTGTTTAAGTTCATCACCAAATTGTAAATTAACTAAATAAAGTCTACCTACATAATATACAGGTATTTATATTTTTGATATAAAATTTATTGTAACGGTTTTTTAACTGTTTTGATTTAGTTAATAAGGGTAGAGTTTAAGGTTATTAAAATAGTCATCTAAATTTACCAATAAAACATTCACTTTAAAGGTCATTTTACTTTATGTTTATTGAGTTTTGTTTGTATAGTTGCATTGTATGCAATATTAGTTAAAAAACAATTATCTTTACCTTATATGATTCCAACACTTCCACCCAGCTTTGTTTACTTTCGATTGAATCTGCTCTTAAATACCAAACACAATCATTAACCGATATATCAAATCTGCATTCATCGAATTCATGGGGCTAAAAGATTAAACATTATATTTATATCATTAAAACAAATGATAATAATGTATTGTGTTTAAATTATTAAGTAGTAGGCATAGAATGAATAAACAACAATAAATGACGAAATAAATCACAACCTACTTTGATAGTGGCTTTGGCAAGTGACAGGGCTCCTCTGCAGCCGTATCCGCTTTCCTGTTCACTCTTGTAATATGTCAACGTGCCGTTTTTAATCACAATATACCGATCCTGCCATCCGTGTATGTAATTCGTCCATTTACTCAGTATTCCAGCCAACTCGTGGTTATTTTCGCCATCTGATTCTTCGCTACTGGCCATGCTAAATTTCTAACCTCGTCTAATAGACAATCGCAGGCGGCTCGGTCATTATAAAACAATGGTCGATAACATTGTTTTGCGTTTGTGTTTTATTTGCTTTCGGTTTTTTCCCAGATTAGCAACAATTTTTGTTTATCAACCACAAGTTTGATAGTCATGCGCAGACGTCGTCGCGTGACGTCCATTTAGTTTATGGCGCCATCTTCGAATTCCTGTTTGTTGAAGTATGTGGGTGTTTTATTATGCGAAGTCTAGATTGTTATGTTGAATTAGAGGTGGGTTGCTATCGCGTAAGCTGCTATTTTTTAACAGTTATTTTGCTGAAGCAGCTATCACTGTTACCCGGTTTTAAAAAAAGCTGCTACCAACAACATAACCTAACTCCGCCGTTTGTGATCGCATTTAAAGTATTGTCTGCGCACAGTGATCGATAATATCGATATCGCTGTTTCGAATTCCGCTATATCAAAAAGCTGCTAACTCGGCCTTGGACAGCGCCACTGCTGTATGATGTCGGGATTTTAGTAAAATCATTTTACTAACGGAGGTAAAGTTACAGCATTGGAGACTAATTAATAATATTTTATACACTTTAAATAAAAATGAGTTTTAATTTGCAGCCGAGTAAAAAAAAATTTAATTTTTAAACTCGGATTTTTAATACTAAAATTTATTCATATCTAAGCTATTTTTAATTTTTTAAACCTAATCCTAGCATAGAAAATCATTATTAACAACATTATAATTTCCAATCATTGCAAAAGATCGCGATTATTTGCTAGTAAAGATCTCTGTGAACTCTCCCTAGACGTTTGTAAGCCAAGCAGAAGCGATTCGCTACTATAGCGCTATAGCAAAGTCAAATAGCCGTTTTAAAATGAAACATGCATGCGCAAGAAACACGCGTGCCGCTGTCAGCGGCTGTGGTCCATTCTCACGAGCACCGTTTCGGATAAACTGCTTCTTTTAAGCAGCTATTTGATAGCTGCTACTTAAAAAAAGCGGTAACTGTTTTAACTGCTACTTAAAAATAGCGGTTTAGCCCACCACTATGTTGAATACTGCAAATGCTTGACTAATGAGGTAAACTGGTTTTATTAGTGTAATATATTATTTATGTATAGGTACCTACAGAGTATATAGAGTATAATATAAAACGAAACAAATTGTACAGGGTAAAAAATATTATTTTATTTGTCCAATATTAAAAAAAAAAAATTATATTTATAATTGTTGTATGGTATCCAAGACTATGTTTTTTATATAATTTTATCATAAAGAGTTTGTTTAAACATAATTAATTTTTTTGGCAAAAACATACCTAACTTTAAAATATGCAGTGGATTCTACAGTGGTTAGGTATTTAACCCTTTAAGTGGCAGAGTCACTATACTGACCACCCTCATGATTAAATGTGGCGCCAAATATTTGAACACCCAACCGTACTTCTGCTATCAATAATAACTATAACATCATGCCTAAAGGCCTGCAAATACACTCAGTTAACCAACGTCCGCTACGCATGACGTATTTTGAAAAAGTGGTCACTTAACTAACCATCGATACTTTACGAACATTACTTTTTTCTTTGAATGTGCAAAGTGATATTTGTAAACATATTTAGGTGAGTAAATGCTATTTTATTATTTTGTAAATAACATTAAAAACTTTCAATATGTTTCTTTTTATCTCAGTTGCAAAATTAAGACAAAATATTTAAAGTATTGGGTGTTTTGGGCCTCATAAAGGGCAACTATTTGTTTTTTCAGAAAATATAGGTTAGGTATACCAAATTTTTCTGGTACTATTTTTCCTTATTACAAGATACTTATAATTTTTCTTACACCCCAGAACTATAATTATCAAAATGTAAAATTCTTATTTCACCTAATATCAACGGCTTAGATAATATTTTGATACTAACTGAAATCGTCTCGAGTCTACCGGTCACAGTGGCAGAGTCACTATACTGACCACCCTCGTGATTAAATGTGGCGCCAAATATTTGAACACCCAACCGTACCTATCAATAATAACTATAACATCAATAATAATAACTATAACATCAATAATAACTAATAACTATAACATCAATAATAACTATAACATCATGCCTAAAGTTTTTTAAGTCAAATTCCCTTGAATAAATAATGAGTTTCTGCCAACAATATATTTTTTGATAAAAGTGGTCAATAAAATGATTTGAGAAATTATAGTACATCTTGTTTTCTTGAAGTAACCAAGATCACTATACTAACCACCCTATTCTGATAAAAAGGGCGGGAGTAGATTTTTTTCTATATTTTTTCAAGCATCCTGGGATCCATATAAATTATCTTCAATAAAAAAAAAATGTGTTTCAAAGAAAATTTCTTCTGCCACTTAAAGGGTTAAATAAGTTTTAATGGAGAAGTGAAATATTTAGTATTGTAAATTAAATGTGGTAGGTATATATTTTTTAGATAAGGAAATTCCAAGTTAATCAGAAATTGTTATCCCTAAAGGCCAGTGATGTAATGTATCGAGATACATGTATCTAGATACTGGATCTAGATACATTTTATGTACCTAGATATGTATCGAGATACTTAAAAAAATCAGGATCTTCTTTAGTATCTAGATCCTTTTGAAAGTATCTAGATCCTTAGATACAAGATACATTTTATTTTACCCAACCTGATTGCAACTCCACACCGTGTGGGCCACACGAAAAATGAACATCCAATGGATATACTCTATGGATATCCAGGATATATACATACCTACATTGGATATAATAAACAATACAAATAATAAAAAGATATTTTATTTCTTTTTCCCTTCAATCCACTTTGGAGTGCGAAGTGCATAAAGTAACTCTTAGGCACTAGTGAGTAAAGTTAAACAAAAGCGCTGTAGGTTACCTATAGTTGGCTTTGAAGGCATTTTTCTTCGTTCTGATAATTTTGAATTTGTACTACAAATATTGTAGTAAGCTTTCATATGGCGCGTAAATATAAAATTTATTTCCGTTTTTCATGGATATTTCGTCAATTTTATCAAAACAGTTTTATTTTATAGTTAACACGCTTGTTTATAAGGTCCAAAAATTTTTTTTTTAATTTTTAAGTTTTTTTAACATAGTATCTGGAAGTAACTTAGATACTTTTTGAATGTATCTGTATCTGTACCCAGATACTTTTGGGAAAATGTATCGGTATCTGTACCCAGATACATCTACCAGAGAGTATCTGTATCGGTACCTAGATACTGAAAAAAATGTATCGGTTACATCACTGCTAAAGGCACATATGTAATACACAGGGCCGGATTTAGGACAGGGCCAGCGGGGCCACGGCCCCAGGGCCCCCACCATTTAGGGGCCCCCACCAATGCAATATGTAGCTTTTTAATGAAACGAATATGAAAAAAATTATCAAAATAATAAAAAATTGGGTCGGTTATACCGCGCGAATTCTTTAATTTTTCGTAGATCTAACTATCACACTCAAAGTTTTGGCGCGCGAAGACGTTTTTATGTAGTTTATAGTCATAAGTTATGACTCAAAACAATTGCTCCTTTAGTGCTTTTCGTAACTTTTTTGTAAATACAGGCAAACAGTCGATTACTTATACCTAATCTAATATTAAAGTTAGTTTTTGTCCCAGATTTTTATTGGTACATTGGAGTGTTGTGGAATATTTTCCGGTGTTTCCGAAATAATGTTTCGTTCTTTTCTTTGGACAAAACATTTGATGAAACAGACAAATAATACGACTTTTGATGCACTTTCTTTTCAGTTTGCGAAAAGTATTAAAAATACAAACAAAACATACATCAATTTATATTTTACTTGAGTAAAATATATATAAGGTTATGTTCGTATTATTCAAAATATATAAAATATAAAGTATATACGTATATGTGTTTAAACACTTTCATTCACAATTCTATTCTACTATCTACGTTTTTATAGTTTTGCATACGAATTTATAATTTCTCAGACTTTGGTAAAATGTATATGGTTATGTTCGTATTATTCAAAATATACAGGGTGATTCAGACTTGTGGTGACAAAAGCTCAGTGGAAATTCATCAAAATATGAAAAAAAGTTCCTATAAACACGTGTCCGAAAAAGCTTCATTATCGAGATACAGGGTTTTTCGTTTAAAAAAAAATAGTTTTGGCCGATTTTATTAAAAATTTATATGGTTTATTAAATAATAAATGATTCAAGGATAATAAAAAATCACGTAAAGTTCCCAGACAGCACACAATATCCATTGGATATCCATTGGATATACCTATATCCACTGAATGTCCAGTCCATGAACGGATATCCAGTGGACATCCAATGGATATACTTTAGGGATATTAGCATAAGGACAATTTGCGTCAAAATTGACTAATAAATATTAGAGACAAATATATTAATTCATTATTGACACATGCCTTGATATTTCTAATAATTTACTTTGAAACGAATAAATAAAACTTTAATGGATATCTAATGGATATCCAGTGGATGTCCACATAGATATTATAACTACATATCTAGAGCCAAAGATAAAAAAGGATTGTTTTAGTTAAAATTATTCTAGACGTTTTTTAAGCATTATGTTTATGAGATACAACCTATGAAATTAGAAGTATAATTTAATGTAAGTTTTCATGGATATCTAATGTATATCTAATGGATATCCACTATTTTAGACTACGTCACATGAGACTCTCGAGAATCATTGGCCAGCCCGACGCGCTTGCGTATTGTGCTCCCATGTCTCTGCGCAAACAACAAACACCGTGAAACGTTTATTTTTATGTCTGCCGTTTTAAGATTGTGTTTTTAAGTGTCAGTTTTCGCATCATATTTATTGTTTTTACGGTAGGTAAGTGCCTTTATTTCTTGTTTGGTTGTGTGGTATTGTGGTGTATTACATTGGGATTTTTGTTTTTATTTGAGGCCTTGTTTATTTACCGGCTTCTGTTAACTATGCCGGGATGTTTTTTATTGCTTTAGCTAATACCTACCTAGGTAAAACTACTAATTTATTAGACATGCATGTGTATTAGATGTCTGCTTGTACAAGTATGTTTACTTTACTTTATATTGTAAATTAGGTAATTTTTTTTCTTTTACAGAAAGAAAAACAATGATATAATGCCTCTACCAGAATAAA